GGATTCAATGATAGTGAATCGAACAATCAGAAGAGGTATGAAGCGAGGAACAGCTCTCGGGGTTATCTGCGATTGTTTCTTGTTTGCATGGGAATCGAAGCACCGACTCAGATAGTGACTCGCAGACCCGGTTTCCCGACTGCCCCCGCATTTTGACCGTTTCTGTCACAGTCTAAGTGACTCCTGGCTGTTTTTGTTCGTCTGTCGTCGACTATTGTTCGAAGCGGTGATGAACGGTGCCTTCTTCCCTTTGCGGCTTCTGTTGACGGTCAGTCTGTCACTCAGTCTGTCTGACTCCGAGCCACGGATCAACGGTTCTACTTCGTTAATGAACAGTTCGTCGCTCTTCTCCAACATTGTTAGCCGACGCCGTGCTCGCCGAAGCCATAATCTGTGCGCTTGCGGCTTCTGGTTCAACTCGTTCACCGCTCTTACAGCCCGTCGCGTCTCTGCATAGGTCTTGGCAGGCCAAGTGAAATTCGAACTCCGAAGCAAGCAACTGTAGAACGACGACGACGACGACAACAATGGTAACCCCAAACACGAAAACAAAGTCGACCGAACGCTTCCGACCGACGATCCGCCGGAAACAACACTTTGAACCATTCTGCGTGGAAGCTAGAATTCGCGAGATGATCGCAGGAACAACGACGCCGATCAGATTCCGGGTTGAAGTGAAGCAACGCCCTTCGAGCGACCTTTTAAGACGGTGGCCGAATTCGCAAGGGGCAGCAGCGGCGCGTACAGAATGAAAAATCTTGATACTTCTACCTGGTCGAAAGGCTCGAGGACGATATCTGAATTCTAAGCATTCGTCTTGTCGACCACCAGCGACGCATAGCCACTTTGCATACGGCGCCATTCCGTCTTCGTCCCTTCGAGCCTTACGGTCAGGTTGCTGTGGCGCTTTTTCCCCTCGTTGGCTTGAGACGCGTCGGAAAACCGGTCGCTCCTGGATCGACGGCTCGCCAACTCACACACGTCCTCTATGGCTGTCTTCCTGAATCTCGATGGAGAAAGGGTCAGGATAGACCAAGCGGACTTGGGAATGGTCTGGATGGCTATCGACCTAGCACTGACAATGTCTGAGGCGAACGGGGAAAATCGCGGTTTGCTCCAGAATCTTCTCCGGATCGGTCAAGACTCGGGTGAGGAAATTCTAATTTCTCTGGCCAGAAGAGTCTGGATCCGATTCTCCAGGGTGACAACCATTGAGATCGTCTCGCTCAATACCTCGGTCAGTCCGACGCGGCTCGATGGAAAATGGACGGATCCGGTCAAAAATCGGTAGAGCTTCTCAAAGCCGACCCGGTATAGTTCGTCTGAAGACACAAGAATGATTCGGCAGAACGCTCGGCTGATCGGCCGGCTGCTTGAAATCTTGGCATGCCTCGAATGAGTGAAAACCCAGAAAACGTCGAGCTTCGCCGAAGCAGAAAAATTTGGGGCTTGGAGCCCGATCTCGGCTCGTCGCCCGGAGCTTGTGAAGCCGTGAAAATCGTCTCGCATGTTGGATAGAGGCGACGGGATTGTTTAATAGATGACACCCGCCGTGACTCGCTGCGCACGCTCACGCGGGGAAGGGTTTCGGCCCCGCATTTCAACTTGTTTCAGCCTACCTAAGACTTTCTATTCCTGAAATGTAATCCTCGCTCCATCACTTCAATGATTCATGATGGGGAATCGAGTCAAGCGGAGCTGTAGAATCGTCGGCGAAGTAAATCTCCAAGGGCGCTTTCATAGATCCCTGGTAACGTTTCCGAGGGGAACGGTCTCATTTACGTCTGAGTGAAGGAAGGAATGAGCGTCTCGGAAGGACATCGGGCAACGATCATACGATGGAGCATGAGACCCAGAGACGGCCCTCGCTCGGGAACAGGCTCCGTGCTCCGGAGACACTCACGTTCAGCTGCGCTGTCATCATTAGCGGGTAGCATTTAGCTTTCTGTCGAAGACGTTCAAGAGCAGCGGTCTCGTGTTGAACACATGTTCGTCACAGCTGCGGATCGAATGACTTATTACTTTGCCGGAAAAAGAGCTCCCTCGAAACAAGAATGTTTCGAGCTTCCGACAGCACACCTCAGCTATCGCCAATCACGAGCTATCAGAGTAGAACGATCATGTGGCTAATGGCGATCCGGAGCCGGAGCTCCGTTTACGGAATCGACGCATCGATATAAGCACTCGCAATGAGCACGGAATGCACACCCGCGCTCGTATGTGCGCTCCCCAGTCTCCTTCGAAATCGAATGGAACGGAACGTGTGTCGTCAAAGGACTAGCGAAGCGAGGTCAAGCTCGCGCTCGAACGAGTCGTCGACACTGGACCTCAAGTCACTCGATTGCAGAATGACTTTGAAGACGCTTCCAAATGGATCACGGTAGCTTCTCCTTCTGATGACCCAGTCCAGACGACAGCCGACGCGGCCGCTCACTACTATGGTCGGCGAAGATCCGTCATCTCGAATCGATCAGATTTCTGATCATCAGTAATCGAGCGGATCGTTTTTTTCTGCGCGAAAACGCGACAACGGCAGCATCTTGCTGCAGGTGGTTCGATACCTCTTGAAGTGCTCATTTTCACCTACGTCTCCGGTTAACCCCCGCTGGATATTTCCACGCGATATTTTTCCTGCCACCATGGATGCACTCCGCTCTCCTCGCGGAGTTTCTGACCGCTCGGAGTCTCGCGTCTCTACTCGTTTTGGGAACCCTTCCTGGGTTCGAGCTCTTGAAGAAGTTATTCGACGCCACCACCTCAAATTATTATCCGACTCAAGCAGTCTGCGATCTCAGCTGCGATTTCCGGACACACTTATGTGTGTCGCTCAAAGCTTCGGGTGATGTGCCCATTTTGAGTCTGGAATTCTCCTAGAGCCCACTGCCGACCAGTGGTGGGCATATTTGTATCGACAAATGTGCCCAATACTGCTGCCGACCGACCAGGCTTCCATGAGAGCAGTTGAAGCGGTATCGTCCGTCTCAGAGACCACATCTTCGGCAATATATTATAGGAGCCAGAATATTTTACCCCTGCTGTATAGTGAATTAGAGCTCCATGGTTGACGATGCTCTTGACAGCATAATCTGCCCGCTAGTCGAAGCACTCTGTCAGGCCGCCTGAGAAGCCGACAGCCTGTCATGTAGTATGCATCTCACTCTTATTATTATTTTGAGTGAATGGCGTCCCTCGGCAGGCAATACTACTTCGACACACTATCCATAGAGCGATAAATCATCCAGTGGAATAACAGCACATTCTCTCTATTTATACAGTTTTGGCACAGACGCAATTGTTCTCTGCCAAGCGCGGATTACACGAATGTCGTGAACGGGTGATTTGAAGCTTTCGGGATCTTTCTCGGCTGACTTCGTGTCTTCTCCCTGTGTGGCCTTTGACGGCACCCGCCCGTCCTCTGCCGAAAAGAATTTACTGATTCCAAAATTTGAGGAGGATTCCCCTGCTCGACGCTCGATTCGGAGACTATTGGTTTGTGTGATCGAACCCCTCTCGGAGATCGGGATAAGAAGTCGGCGTTCGGTTCTGAAACGGTTCAGGAGGCACCTCGAGCGAGCCAAATAGGCAGAGCAGGGGCAGGCTGCAATTGATGGTGTAGTACTTGAGATAGGACATTTTCGTCCTCTGTGAGGCGTGATCGAGGTCAGGAGCCCGCGCAAGGCGCATCGGTACCGACTGCCGAATGAACGAATCTGATTCACGATCGAAGTTCTATTCGATACTATTCTAGCGTTGGACAATCGCAGCCGGCTATATGGTGGATTGGGCGGATCCAGGAAGCTTCCAGCCCATTTAGACATTGAGAGCTCGACATAGCTACAGAAAATACGCCGATTGGAGAATTTCCTGGAGAAGTCGCCTCTGCCCTCATTGGCCGCCAACTCAATCAAGCTGACGGAGGGACGAAGACCAATGAAGGACAGCCAGCAGAGTTCATCCTCTCTTCATCCAGAATGAATGAGGATGAGCTCTGTCAACCATGGACAGGTCGGGGAAATGAATGATTCGGAATCGCGGTGAAGGAGCGAGCTGAAATACCACTTGACCGAATCAGAAGCTAACGGGAAAGCGTTGATGTCGGCATTGGCACCATGGGGGACATCTTCGGGAACCGGTTACCTCAGAGCAATAAAAGAGTCGTTCAGGCTCTCTTTCGATCACCATCTAAGATAGAGCAGCAGCTTGGCTCGCTGTTGGACGCGACAGGCGCTGCCGTAGTGGATGAGTGAGTGATGACTAAACCGATTCTGACTGACGTCTTTCACTTTACCTATTTCCAAGAGGTGCGAGCAAACAGATATGGAGATTGAGCATGTGAGTGAGCGAGAGAGCAGGAAACTCCACGAGAATAGCGGATGAACAGCGTGACCGGTGGTTCGGTGGTAATAACGGTCGGCTCTTTTGCTTTTTCCAGGTGCGGCCGAAAGACCAAGCAACCGATCGACCGACCGACCAACGGACCGGCGAAGCGGCAAAACTTTCAAGTCCTGAGTCACCTCCGTAGTCTCGGGCAGCCTAGGAGCTAGTCGCTAGTCGCCAGTCGCCGCTGCATGACGCTTCAAGGGGACCCGAATCGCGCTTCGTCTTGTCAGGAGCTTCCCCAAACATCAGCGGCTGCATTTGGACGCGCGTCGTCCTGTTCTTCGGGACTGAATCGCCTGCAGAGCGGCGGCGCTTGTCTTCAGACTAAGAATCGCGTCCCACCGTCAGGCAAGCAGGTTTCTCCAGAGCCGTTTTAAGCGCTCTCAAGTGAAATCGATGAGCGTTTAGAACGACGCCGGTCTCTCTTCGTGTATTGCGTGTGTCGCCAGGTTTTCATTGCGTCAGCTGTCGCAACAATTAAGCAAGCATCGGCATCGGCTGAAGAGATCAACTTCCGCCTCGAAGACCAGCCCACAGCACCTTTTGGTCTCAAGTCCTCCGCTAGTGAGTCAGCTTCTTTTGTGCTCGGTAGAGACCGCGAATTCGACTGCAACGTTATAATGACGGGAACCGCACAAGCCGGTACGGATCGAGCCGCGGGCAGCATCAGGAGTTTGTTCGATGACGAGGACTCGCAATGGATTTTGCGATTCGACTCGATGTTGAAGTACGCCCAAACGTCGAACAACGCTCCGCCGACGCCGGAAGACAAGACTCCTGGCGTCGAAATGTCGGGGAGCGTGCCCTCCAGTCCCGCACAAAGTCGAAGAACGCGTGAGAAGAAGTATTCTCTGCCTAACCCAACACTCTCCACGGCGTCACCTCCTACCCCTCGAGGTGAGTGGATTCCGTAGATTCAAAAGAGCGATCTCCGATAGCTGAGCGATGGTTCGAGAGAACCCGTGGACCACGAATCATTCTTTGCAGAATCCGGAGAGGAAAAAATTAGGTAATTGATTCGCTCGTTGTTGCTTCCGAGACGAGTCTCCGCAGGTCTGACCGAATATCTTCGCATCGTGTGGCTACGCGAGCGAAGACATATGTACTCGGAGCAAATAAGAGCCGTTGACGTTGTTCCGCGCTTCCCCTCTTCCGGGTGATCCCGTTTCCTCGAACCTGCCTTCAGACATATCGATGCACGATGAAGCTATAGCCAAACAAACGCTAATCAATAACACCATGCAATCATAGGACGCTGCTATTCTAAGGTAGTTCCTTTGTCATCGGCGGTAGCGTATTTTTTTGTTCGCTACGAGAATTGATGACAGCGTCGAGCGGCGCGACGCCGTCGTCCGCGGTACGTGCTTCTTACCTCCTACCCGGCCGGATTCGAACACCGCGCATTAGCTGATGATGCGTTTTCGCGAGTCATTCGAGGACGGGAGTGTGGAGCCCCGCTTCGAACAAACACTTCTTCGAGTGATTGGTCGATGGAATGAAACTTCCATCGGAAGGAAAGCGGGTCCATTTGTTTTTAGGAAAAAAGACTTTCTAAAAGAAGGCGATGGAAAGCTCCGATGCGATTCGACCGCTAGGCACATCGCGGACGCATTCTTCGAGTAAGGCGCGTGAAAAATCAGCTTCTCCCAACCGCTGAATCCAGAATCCGAGCTGTCGGATAGAGTTCTCTGATTGAACATGGGCATGAACTCCCAATTCTCCATCGGAATGCGTTGAACTCAACCCACGGGTAGGGTGCTGCTGGCTTTGGTCTGTTTTTCACGCTCAAAAACGTACTCTCACAATGCCCTCCTCGGGGACCATCGGCATCATCACAGCTCGATCGGATATCGACGTAACAAGATGGCTCTGCTCGAGGAGAGTGATCAATCATTCGAGTCCCCTGGATCGTTCGCGGATTCATTCAGTCGCTAATTTGTTGTTGGTGGGTCGCAGCTGAGGGTTTCGGAAACCACAATCAACGTGGCCCACTCAATTCGACGAGCGTTGTCCAAGTGACATTGAACATCATTTATCGCTCTACTGGTCCAGCTGCGTGGCGAACAGAACGCGACAATATCCGGCTAAGGGTAGGACAATGATGCGGGTCAGATGGAAAAGGTTTTCGAGGTGTCACGGGGAGCGACTTCTTTTTCATCTGGACAGGATAACGGTCCCCTATACTCTATTCCAGTGAGCAGAAATTCTCCGACATGATTATGAGCTCGAGAGTTCCCCTTCGGCGTCCGGGGTGGTTCACTCCCAGTGGTATTCTCACATTCTCACGCGGCCCCGCCTGATCGGTGTAAACAGAAGAGTTTGTTTGGAGCTCTTGAGCCAATAAATCCGTATTTTTGTAAATAGATTATCTGTTTGGACTGAGCTTCGTCCCGGCGCATGCCAAGCAGCTGCTGCGTCGATGATATGGTAGGTTTCGGGAGTTCGACAGGGAATCGAATGCAGATGTTCGACGGTCCAAGACGAGAGGGATCCATGCCCAAACAACGTGGTTGTTCGCGAATCGGGGGATGATATAAGAGCGACACGAGTTTTTACTCGAGATCTTTGGTCGGCGAGCAAGTCAACGAACGTCGAAGTCACATGGGTCGCTGCAACGAGAGGAAACGTTGCCAGAGAAGGTCTTCGAGCATCTGTGAATTTAAGGAGCGGACCCTAAAGGTTTTTGGCCGCTCGCCAGACGGGCCTTAGAAGCGGCTCGCTTCTCCCCATACTCATGAACCTCGCCGAGAGGGATTATTTCGGAAAAAAAGTACTCCATTCACTCTCCTCCATTACGGTGAGGCCGTCGCGTTTGGAAAAGAATCGTCAATCCGTTCTACCGCTGGCTGAGCTTCAAGACTCGCCAGAGGCTGACTGAGAATTTCCGAACTCTCGTGGAGAGCTCCTTGTCCAAGACGTCCGAGTCTGATCAAATTCACCATTGTCCTCGAGAAAATTTGCTCCTTGAGATAGTAGAGCATTGGAAATCTTCACGGCCGAATCGGATTCCGGTCAATCGGAGGCATCTGCAGTTCTTGTTCAATTCGAAATTCGAATTCGACGAACGCATGGCTGGGAATCGGAGGATGGTAGCCTGATTCTCTTCCCATTTTCATGAATCCTACGATTGGTATACACTTGCCACGCCCTCGGCGATCGAAAGTGGAGGATCTTCAGCGATGCGGCCCGATTAGGCGGTTCCTGCAGCTTTTCGGTTCCCGAAGCGCTCGAATTTGAAAAGTATGTTTCAACGTTTTGAGCTGGTTTTCTGGGTGGGCGGTTTCGGACAGCCGATCGTGACCCGTCGATTTATGTTCTAACAGAATAAGAGTATCGACATGATCGACTAGTTCCAAGCGATCATTACTGCGGTTGTCCCGCAACTCGACGCAGCGATTTTCCCGCGAGGATCGGGCGGATCGGAGGAGAGTACATAACACGACGAAAAAGAAAAGCCAAACGGAGCGATACCTGCTGGCGCGTTGCCAAGCCTATCGCGCTTAAAAGGGTGGGGTCCGATTTTCCCGCCCTTTGCGGGGCTGAAATCTGAGAAGGAGGGAACTTCGTTTACTGTTTCCTTCGCGAGTCCCGTCATTTCCGAGGAGTGCGATCGTGACATGAAAACCTCTTCACGACACTGTTCGGAAACTATCTATGATCGAATAGCTATGAAAACTACGCGTCTTCCACCTATTTTCAGTGTTGAAGAAAAAAAAGGTTCCCTTCGGAACTCCTTGTTTCTCTGCCTTGTCAAAGATAATCCGGGGATTTGATGGGAAATATTCGGAGAAGAAGTTTCCACTTGATCGACGCCGAAGGTTCCCGAATCCAAGCTTGTTTGGCTTCCAGAAGATGTTCGCGCCGAGATTCGTCCATAAAAAAGTTCGCCGACTTCTTCTTCTCCGCCTTCTTCACTTCTGGGTGTTGCGCGTCGACTCGAGATGCGATCAGCTGTGTCGGCTCAAAATGAGGCAAGTTGCGTGTTCTGGACCCTTGTTTCGCTGAGAGTCATGGATGGATCCGCTGGATTGCGGGATGGATGGATTGATAGCTGGGCGACTGGCTCCAGCCGTGGCAGCGTGTTCGGGAGCAGCGAGAACGAGCGGTGTCCAGCAGACATGTCGCGAAGATCCGGTGATTGTCGTGCCATGTGTTAGCGACCCTCAGAGCGCGCAGAATTTCTGGCCCTGATTGGTTGCCGACTGGGCAGCTCAAGATGAGCTCTCGGTGAAGGCCCTGGCCGAGCCCGGCACTACCACCGCAACCTTATCATCGTCCGCGGTGACAAGACCCTTCTGTATCACTATCCGAACGCAATCTATCCCAGATTTTTCGCGAACTTGCAACACCCGGGCCGGTCTCGTGGATAGTCGTCGGACCGGCATCATTCATCATCCATCCATGTACCCACGGATGGATCCTCCCACCATCAGTCATCTTCTGGACCGCGGGTCTTCAACGAAGAATCGAATCAGGAATTCTAGGGAGAATTAAATTTTCCTACTATAAGATTCAAACTCGTTCACGCAATATCAATACATCATCGCATCGTCGATGTCGAAGATGGATTCGAGTCGAGAATACTCTCGAGGTATTGCTTCTGTGGGTTCCCTCCTCTTGGCGATTCTTCTGATGGGTCGGCGTATTCCACTGTTGTCTGGCCTGTGTGTTTGTTTGTCTCGCTCGTTCGTTCATTCGTTCCTTCTTTGATTCGATCCTGCTGTCGGATATAATCACAATAATTCCTCGACGCGATAGAAGACGTCGGGCGGGCGTCGCGTCGTACGCAGACTTCGTTCGCGGACCACGTCAGAAAACCACGCCTGACGAATTCAAGCCAGTTAGACGTGCATTCGAACCGACGGAGCTGCGGAGCGTCGAAGTTTTTCGCTCTTTCAGATCAGAGACGACGAACAGCAGAGAAATTCGGGAAATGGAAAACATAACTGTGCTTAGCTCCGATTATTAACAGTCGCTCATAGCGCGGCGTTCATAAACGCGTCGGACCGTGTTGCACCGGGTAGCCACGGAAAAAAAATGGAGCCGAACACCGGCTATTCGCGCTGCGAAAATGCTGGAAAACTTCTCCACATGATTCCTAAATGGATCCGGGACGAGCTAATCACTGATGCGTTGGACGCTGATAGCCTTCAAAGGGCCGATCTATTCATCGGAAGTCATGGAACAGATACTATCGGACTCAAACGATGCCGCAGCAAATTTTCCACCCGCTCGGCGCATCGGTCGCTCAGAGCACCTGTCTTCTGACAGCTAGGCGCGGGACAATGGTGTGTTTTGAAGTTAAACATTTTTCATTGTTTCCTTCGTTCGTGAAACTTTCGAACTGGAATCTTGGGAGGTCGGATTCCATCCTCACCGACAAAATCAATGATAAGGAACTCATGATCAACGGATCCCATGCTCGAAGCTGGATCTGCGGCTGCATCATTAAAGAATTGATCAAATAGTCACGACCGCTCGAGGTGATGCGCGCACGCGACTCCTGACAATGAAGAACTGACTGAGTGATCCGTATTGTCTTGGACGGCGCGAATTTCATTCAGGCGAACAATAGCTCCTTTTCTTTTCCGGAGTTTTCATTGCTCTTGGCAGGCAATAGAATCCTGCTCTACCCGTAGAATCGCGCCTCCTTGGCTTCTTCGGCATTCGTTCATTATGTCTTCTGCCGCTTCTCCGGGACAGAATAGGCGTCCTGATAATCAGCTGCCAGCCAGTTTGTTTGCTTTGCGTTTGCATAACTGGTTGACCCGGTCGACCCTATTCCCCCTACGTTCGAATCCGACTCGTGGATTGGGAGCTGTCTATTTGGCACAGGAGAGCTTCTTTTAAACTCTCTGGATTTTTTTTCAAATAATGGAAATTTCTTCGGGAGGGTT